TACTTATGTTTATTCTGTAATTTGTTCTCTTTAATGCTTTTATCTCTTTGAAACCCTCAATCATATTTGTATTAGAAGTTTATCAGGTCAGGCCCGATGACATGCCTGAAATCCCAGCTGCTTGGGAGGCTGAGTCAGGAGTATCCCGACTTGAATCAAAATACAAAAAAGGGCTGGGGATGTGGCTCAGTGGCTAGGGCCCCTGGGTTCAGCCCTGGTGCCAACAGCAATAACAAAAGAAATTGCTCCAAAGACAAAACTAATTCTACTTGTAGTTAATTCACTTTTTCTTTTTTTTTTTTTGTTTTGCGGGGGGGGGAGTGGATATTAGAGATTGAACTCAGAGGCACTCAACTCAACCACTGAGCCACATTCCCAGCCCTATTTTGTATTTTAGAGACAGGGTCTTGCTGAGTTGCTTAGTGCCTCGCTTTTGCTGAGGCTGGCTTTGAACTTGTGATCCTCCTGCCTCAGCCTCCTGAGCTGCTGGGATTACAAGTGTGCACCACGACACTGGCTCCAGCCCACTTTTAAAGAATACCTGTGAGTCTTACAGGTGTGCCTCACAGCGCCCATCAATTCACTTTCTAATGATGGATTTTTGTTGGTTTCCTAAGTATTAGACTGATCCATGTGTTTTGGAATTTGGGGTTACAGGTTCATATTCGGAAGCTGTTAAAAGTTTTTCTCTCTCTCCCCCCATGCCTTTGGCTATGAGCTCATTCCCATCTGTCAGCAAACCCTCAATCAAAAGCCAAGTCTTAAAGAAGCAGCTTGGAATTCCTACCCCACAGTAACATTGATAACATTGAGTGTCAAACAGGCCAGGAAGACAATTATAATTTACAGAAATATTGGGAAGGTTGACTCAAATTTTGATTATGATATTCATGTACCCCTATCTCCATAGTTCCCCCCAAAAAAAAGAAAGAAAAAGAAAAAAAAAAGGTCATATCTCCAAGTAGGATTCATTTGGAGTTTCAATATTTTTGCAACCTCACTTTTGAGAAGGAAGGAGTTTCAAGCTATAAGATAGGATCCAATATCATGTAGAGAAATTTCAGTGCTCTCTGCCCCTGAGGAGCTGAAATTGTGATCAGTAATCAATACTTTCTGGATTTTCCATAAACATTGACATTTTTGTTCTCGTTCCATCTAGAAGATGTTTGTCTTCTTTTTGAATCTGGCTTTATCTTTATTGTTTCGACCTTTTATTGCCATGTGTCTGAAACAGAGTTATCAAAACTTGAATGCAGTTCCACTTTTGCCTGAAAGTACACCCACATACGGTGTCTTCTTTTTCCTATCAAAAGTTAATCTTCAGCCGGGTTCAGTGGCACACATCTGTAATCCCAGCGGCTCAGCAGGCTGAGACAGGAGGATTGTGAGTTCAAAGCCAGCCTCAGCAAAAGTGAGGTGCTAAGCAACTCAGTGAGACCCTGTCTCTAAATAAAAATAAAAGGGCTGGGGATGCAGCTCCGTGGTGGAGCACTTGCCTGGCATGTGTGAGGTCCTGGGTTTGATCCCCAGCACTGAAAAAAAGAAAAAAACTAATTTTCCCAGTTGTGTTCTTCAAGCCATACCTCTCTGTCTACTTGAGGCCTTTATTTCTATATTATTCTCCCTCTTTGTTAAATCATTGGTTTCTTCTCTCCTGGGTCCTTTCTAATATCACACAAGCTATAATGCTTTTGATCTGGAATGTCCCAAAAAGTCTCATGTGTTGAAGGCTTGGTCCCCAACGCAATAAAGTTTGGAGGTGGGGCTTTTAGGAAAGACTTGGATCATGAGGGGTCTGAGTTCTTCAGTGGATTAATCCCTTAGGTGGTTTAGTGCTTTGAATGGACTCCTGGGAGTGGTAGAAACTGTAAGCAGGTTGCGCTTGGTTGGAGGAAGTAGGACACTGGTGGGTTTGCCCCTGGGACCATCTCTTGTCCCTGACCCCTTTCTCTCTCTTGGCCCCTCCCTCTCTCTCTGACCCTCTGCTTTCTGGCCACCATGAGCTGGGCAGCTTCCTTGCCCACACCCTTCCACCATGATATTTCTGCCTTGGAGCCCTAAGACTATGGACTGACACCTCTGAAACCATGAGACAAAATAAACCCTTCCCCCTCTAAGTTGTTTTCCTAGGGCCTGGGAAAGACAGAAAGCAGACTCACACACAAGCACACTGAAATGTCGCCTATTTTACACAACATCGCAAAACTCCCCTTGGTCTTCCAGTTTTCCTCCAACTTCTTCCCATTCTTCTGCTCTTCTGCTCCTCTTTATACCAAAACTCCTAAAGAGTTCTCTACAGCCACTGTCTTCACCTTCTCACTCCTTAACTCTTTCTTCAGCTCATTCCAATCCACCATTCATTCCTGAGACTCCAACATAAAGATAATGAATGCTTGGCTTGGCTTGGCTGGGGTGAAGTTGGAGTCAGCCATCTTGGGGCTCAGAGAAGAGCACAGTGCTGGAGACATGAATACAGGACACTTCGATGTATTGGGGTCATGGCAGAAACTAGTAGGTGCTTAGCCAATGTTCTTGTTCTTCTTCCTCCTTAGAATTGGAACTTCAAGTTTAACTGAGCTTATTATTGCCTGGAATTAAGGTCACAGATACTTTCTTGCCATGCAGCCAGATATGAACACATGACCTAGTGTGGCTAGTGAGCCAATGAATAGACATGCATGTGTGGAGGTATGGGGGATGGGCTTCCAAAAAGGCTCTTAAAAAGCTCATCTGCTGGCGGGGTTGTGGCTCAGTGGTAGAGCGCTTGCCTAGCATGCATGAGGCACTGGGTTCAATCCCCAGCACCACATAAAAATAAAACAAAATAAAGGTATTGTGTCTATCTACAACTCAAATATATATATATATATATATATATATATATATATATATATATATAAAGCTCATTTACAAGGAGATGCCATTTCTATCTTCCTTCTGCCTGGAGTGTATATATGATGTGAATAGCTAAATTGGCATGTCAAATCACAAGGTGGGACCTGAGAATATAAGTTCCATGGAATGGGAAGTAGCCTGAGCCTCTGACGACAGGTTAATCTGTCACATCAGCTGTGGACTGCCTCCTTCTGACTTCTTGTGTGTAGCAAATGAACTCGTTTGTAGCAAATCTTTAATAATTGGATCTCAGTGATCAACAAGGTGAGCACAGTTTGTTAGAGAACAGGTGGTATGGAAAGCGTGGACTCTGCAGGTGATCGCCTGGGAACTGAGTAGATCCAAAGCCCATGGAGGGTCTCACATCGTAATGTGAAGCAAAGGAAGAGAGCACAGGAAAAGAGATTGGCAATGAGGGCTCAAACAGGCAGCGGGAGAACCAAACTCAGGTGGTGTCCTGAGAGCAAGGGAAGAAAATGTTTGTAGTAGAAAATGTTTGAAGCAGTGATAAATTGTCCAATGCTGCCCATTGGCCAAGTAAGAGGAGAAATTAAACTTGACTTTTGAATTTAGAGCAGAGAATTGGGGCAGTAGCTGGAGAAGTAGGCTCCGAGGGGGTTGTGTTTGTTTAAGATGAGAAAAAAAAACGCCAGGTGGCCCAGGCCTGTAATTCCAGCAGCTTGGGAGGCCAAGGCAGGAGGATCTCTGAGTTCAAAGCCAGCCTCAGCAACTTAGCAAATCCCTAAGTAATTCAGTGAGACCTTGCTGCAAATTAAATACAAAAAAAGGGCTGGAGATGTGGCTGAGTGGTTAAGCGCCCCTGGATTCACTCCCCAGTACAGAGAGAGAGAGAGAGAGAGAGAGAGAGAGAAAACAATAGCATATTTGATGCTTGTGGAAATGACCCATTTTAATGATGCAGGAATGAGAAAGTAGGATTGTTGCTGTGATATCCTTATTTAAGGTTGCTCCCTGACTTAAACCCAATAACCACTTTAATCAATATTTTATTATTATGTTTCCATAACTAGCTATCATGTAGCTAATCTTTCCTGGCTTCTTTTTTTAATTTAGTGGTTTTTTTTTTTAATGAATGTAATGGATTAAAAATGGCATAATTACAGAAAAGAATAAAGGGAATTATTCTTGAAAAATAATTAAGATATATTCTAATCCAATCTCATTTAGATTACATTGTTGAGATTCTAAGTACTTCAAGTACACACATGTATGAATCTCCAGTTTACTAGAAGAAAGTATAAGTTGAAGACCAAAAAAAGTGCAGTAATCTTACCTTTGTATATGCCTTTGTATCTAAGGATAGGAACTTTGCTCTGTAATGTATAAGGCATGATTTGAAGAGTGTTTTACCTGTAGGAATTATAGCTACTATAAATAAACACATACATTTGCATTCACTTTAGAAAGTATTTAAAGTGTTACCTAATACTAGACAAAGATGGACATGATTCCAACGTGAATATTGAGCCTTAAGAATTTATAATGTTCCATGGAAACTCAAAGCCTATCAAGCAACACCAGAAGGTTCTCTAATGTGATAATGAGTATTTGAACCATAAGGCTTCTGGGAAGGAGCGATAGTGACCCCTGCTGGTAGGATCAAGTATTGGTCTCTCCACACAGGGCCGGGTTTAGGGTAAATGAGATTTCAGATTGAAAAATTAAAGGGATGAAGATTTAGAATGAGGAAAGGAAAAGAATACAAGATAAAGTGATCATGCATGACAGGTTGAAGTAGTTGATCTTCTGAAAAAATAAGAGCAAGGGCAGGAAAAAAAAGTCATAGCAAGAAAATAAACATGGACATGAAAATTCAAGTAAATTAAATGGAGATTTTGGTTCCAGCAAACGCCCCTTTTTTTTAAAGGGAGGGTGACCCGGGATTGAACTGAGGGGCACTCGACCACTGGGCCATATCCCCATGCCTATGCTGTATTTTATTTAGAGACAGGGTATCTTGATAGCTGAGGTCGTTGGCCTTGGGATAATGAGCCAGAGCACACAGCAGATTGGCACTGAGGGAAAATATGATCTTTATGTCTTCCCCAATATTTAAAAACTATGCTTAGGAGAGAGAATTTTCTTGAAGAACATTTTTATTATGGCATGATTTCATGCTAGACAAGTAAAAAGCGGCACGCAAAGCTATGTGGAATTTGGTCATCTATGATTGTCACCATTGGCCTGTTGTGCTACTTACTGGCTAGGCCATTCTCTGTTATAAACTGAAAACGTAACATGTCGTGAAGATTGTGAACATCTATACCTTAACTCTGGGTTAAGATCCAGGCTGCCCACCACTCAAAGGCCAGTACTCAGGAGATGAGAGTTGGTGGTCAGCCTTGCAGAAGATGGAGGAGCTGGGTTGAGGCTCCATGTTGGGGGGAGGGGCTTTTATAGGTGGAAAAGGAGAAGCAAGGCAGGAAGGCCACCTGCTGAGCAGGGTCTGTCATCCAGAGCAGGTGTCTCCTTTTTTCTTCTCTGGAACTTGGCACTGGATCTTAAACTTCTGGGGCCATTTCCTGTAGTTTCTTGGGTGAGTTGGTATATAGAAGTAAAGATTAAGGCAGGGTGTTACAAAGGTCATCAGATATTTTTGATTCTGTAAAGCTAAAAAAAAAAAAAAAAAAAAAAAGATTATGTAGCAGTTAACATCTTGAGCATTTAGGTTGACTTCTCTTTAAAATTTAGAATACCAGCCAAAGGAAGGGGAGAGGTTGTAATCCTGGCAAATGAGCAAAGGGAGTCTCTGTCTTCTCTCTCTCTCTCTCTCTCTCTCTCTCTCTCTCTTTCTCTCTCTCTCTCTCTGTCTCTCTCTCTCATTACATATAGTCATATGTCAGTTGATGACAGAGATATGTTCTGAGAAATGCATTGTTAGGCAATTTCAATGTTGTGTGAACATCATAGAGAGCACTTACACAAACCTAAGATGGTTATGACGTCACCGGAGGATGAGGATATACTCTCATGGGATCACTGTGGTATACACACTCTGTCAAAGAGCCCAGTGTTGCCATGTAGTGCTTGACAATGTGTACATGACAGTATGTGTGTACACATAACAGAGTGTGTATACATGACAGTATGTGTGTGCACAAGACAGTGTGTGTACGCTCATGGCAATGTGTGTGTCAAACAATGGATTTTGCTCATGTCATTGAGCATATTACTGATGGAAGGTGGAAGCCAACAAAAATGAAGTGATCTCTTACACTCTGAAAATACATTGCATGGGCTGCCTCTTTTGCATGAGTAAACAGCTCAGTTGGAATACACTAAAAACTTAACCAAAATTGACCTGCAGCAACACAAAGATGGGTTGTCTTCATTGTCCTGTGAGACTGCTTGCTGCATTACTAGATAAAAACCTTGACACAAAATCCCCTGGAAACAGTTAAGCTCCTCTGTGAGTTGGAGAAAAATCTAAAAACCAAAATTATCTTCTGCCACATGTTATCATCCACTCCAGAATCACTAACTCTTCCAATATTTGAAGCAGATAGTGGACGAATGGCCATTTCCCTGCAGGGTATCAATTTCTCTTAGCAGAGCCAAGTTCCTAGCTCCCGTTTTATTTACATAAAGACAGCGTGAAATAAAATTCCTATTTTGGGAGCCTTTTTGGAAAGTTCAAAGGCCTCCTGTGGTTTTGAAATTGAGAAAACTTTATTTGCCAAACAAAACTTCAACTAAAAACAAACAAACAAACTGGTACTGTCCATGATTAAAGACCCAATAATGCTTGGACCCATCTAGGTTTCTTTTTTTTTTTTAATATTTATTTTTTTAGTTGTAGTCAGACACAAACCTTTGTTTTATTTATTTATTTTTATGTGGTGCTGAGGATCAAACCCAGGGCCCCGCATGTGCTAGGCAAGTGCTCTACTGCTGAGCCACAATCCCAGCTCCAAGGTTTCATTTTTTGATGAAGGAAGAAACTCCACAGGTCATGGAAAGTCATTCCATTCTAGCTGGGCACAGTGGCACACGCCTATAATCCCAGCGGCTCAGGAGGGTAAGGTAGGAGGATCATGAGTTCAAAGCCAGCCTCAGCAATTTAGTGAGGCCCTAAGCAACTCAGTGAGACATTGTCTCTAAATAAAATACAAAAAGGGCTGGGGATGTGACTCAGTGGTTGAGTTCAATCCCTGGTACAAAAAAAGAAAGAAAGAAAAAAGATATTCTATTCTAAATTGTCTTGCATTAGAGTCAAAGAGAAATTCTGAGTAAAAATTTTTTTTTTACTATCTACCATAAGAGTCATCAACAATATCAGTACCTTCAATTTCTGTCTTTTAAAGAAGTTTGTTTGGAAGATTATGAAGTTCTCCTCTGCTACACTGAAATACACCAGCCATCAAAGACTAGTTACACTTAATAGACCTTGAGATAAGTAACTCCGAGATGACTCCTACCTGCTCTTTAAGATCTCAGGTTAAATAACATGTCCTTTGGGTCATATCCCTCCATTATTGGTTCTCTGTGAATCATGCTCCTTTCCTCCATGGCAGTTTTACCTGTGTCTTTGTGATTACTTGATGAATACCTGCCTTCCCCTCTAGCCGTGGGTTCAGTGGAGCCAAGCCCTGGATCTATTTTAGCTGGCATTGCATCGGTAGCACACAGCACAGTGCTGAGCCCATAGTAGCTGCCGGTAAATATTTAGAAATGCACGGATGAATGCACAGAAGAATGAAGTCAGGGAAGAGGTTTTTCACAGCCTTCCAGACAAGCACAGCCACTTGAATAATATTGAAATATGGCTGCCCCTATTAATAAGGCTTTATCTGAATTTAGCTCATTCTCTAAACAATCTTATAAAATAGGTGCTATGTTATCCACTGATGAGCAGGTCAAGTCATATACCTGCAAGACCCTTGCTTAAGTGGGGTTGTTAATAAGGAGCTGGTACAAAGCTCTTGACCCAGGTGGCCTGAACTTGGAGCCCACACTTTTAACTGAAGGTCTGTACTTGCCATTAGCTGTAGTTGCTGGAAAACAACCCATTCTTTGGATAAACCTACCTCTCTGGAAGTAAGAATTGAAGGTAAACAGTGGCTCCTTTCCAGACCTGGGTAAGATGTTCTGACAACTAGAGTCCAGGGGCCATCCCCCATCAGGAAGCAGCTGCAGAACTTGGAAACACTGCAGAAGTGCTCACGGGTTACCTCTGCCCAAAATAACATCCAAACAGTGTCAGCCGCAAAAATGTCCTCCATGACCTGAGGACAAATGAGAAACTGAAAAAGTGTTTGAGAGTGTGGTAATTTCTGATACAAGCCAACTCTCATTTGGAACAGCGATCAATGGGAATTTTGATTCTATCTACCACCACCTACCTTGGTAAGTCAGGGGTTTCGTGACTTATTGTCATCAGCGTTCGAGTTGGGTCTGTGAAATATCATAGTTGACAAATGTTACCAGGCCACTGACCACTCCAAAAGTCAATATTCTTCTTGAAAATTTTTTTTTAAATCCATGTACTTGGGAAATCTCTTTCTAAGCAGAAATTTCCTATTCAGTTTCTTTTTTTTTTTTTAATTTTAGGTACACAATTTGGATTTATTTCAAGAATTTTAAGAGCTGGGCGTGGTGGTGCATGCCTGTAATCCCAGCAATTCCAGAGTACAAGTTTGAGACCAGTCTCAGTAACCTAGTGAGACTCTGTATCAAGATGAAATAACAAAAACACCTAGGAATAGAGCTCAGTGGTAGAGTGGCCCTGTGGTCAATCCCCAGGACTGAGGGGAAAAAAAAAAATAGAAGATATTGGCCACTGGTTTTTGTAAGAATATAAGTGAGAAAGCCCAATCCACTGTTTAATAAAAGGTTTTCTATCTCCAAAGAGGCAAATATCATATGTAAATTCGTGTGGGTGCTTAGATGTACATTTAAAGTCTCTGACACCAAAGAAATTAAGAACCACCAGTCTCTCTGTTGAAACCATGTCTTGTGACTTTCTAGCTGAGAAGTAGGTAAGCTGAGGGGCTACTGTCTGGGGACAACAGGACTGTGTAGAAGTCAGGATTGGGGTAGAGAGCCTTGAGGAGAACCTCCACATGCCCCTCAAGACCCACTGTCTATCCTTCCTGGTCTCTGAACCTCTGGAGCCTGAGGAAGGCAGAGCATATCATGCTTTGCCTGCCCTCTGGCTTCCAGATGGTTCAGAAATCACCTGGCAGAAATGGAGGCCCAGCTCCCTTTCTGCAGAGCCCAGAGGGGCAGCAGGTGTGTGCCTATGCACAGGGCCACACTCCTGCCTCGCAGCACCCGTCTTTTGGTTTCAGCCTTGCCATTTTCCAATAGTCAACCTTCCTATTGCCCCTTTAGTCCTAGCCCTGTGGTTTCCTGCTATACCACTAACTTTTATTTCCCTTACCTTTGACTGCATCTCAGTAAATAGTCGGATCATTATAATATTTTCAATGACTGAGTGTGTTTCCTATCAGGACCTATAGACTGCCTCTCTTTATTCACTTTTCCTCTAAAAAGTGACCTAAGAAGCCCCCATGCCTGTAATCCCAGAGGCTCAGGAGGTTGAGGCAGGAGGATCACACATTCAAAGCCAGCCTCAGCAATTTATCAAGGCCCTAAGCAATTTTGCATGACCTTGTCTCTAAATAAAATATTTAAAAGGGTCAGGGATGTGACTCAGGGGATAAGTGCCCCCTGGGTTCAATGCCCAGTGACTTAAGACTAAATTTTGCAATTACTCCACATTTTTCTCTTCTTTCACTACTTCTTTTCAGTCCAATAGTTTTGTGTAACCTGGATGCCCTGAAGCCTCCTTGGGTCACCTCTGCTCTCTACACATCCAACCTGGGGTTCCCCATAAAACAAATTCAACATCAGAAGGCATTAATGAATAGTAATGACTTTAAGAATGTTTTCTTGGCAAATTAAAAAAGAGAGTTCTATCAGCCTGTTACAAAAAAAAAAAAAAGTTGCCCCCATCTCCCCCTTATATATCTGTCTCAGTTCACTGGTCTGCTATAACAAAGTGCCACAGACAGGGTCATGATAAAAGACAGAAATTTATGTCTTGTAGTTCTGAAAACTGGGAAGTGCAAGAACCAAATGCCAACAGGTTTAGTGTCGGGTGAGGACCAGTTTCCCCTGCAGGATGGTACCCTAAATGCTGTGCCTCCACAGGATGAAAAGACAAAGTGCAAACACTGGGTTGCAGGGGTGCCTACTCAATTGCTTCGTCTTCTCTATAAGCTAATGAATCCCACCCTCATGACTTAATCGCCTCCTAAAGGCCCTACCTCTAAATGCTGTGGAATTGGGGATTAGGTTGCAACATGAATTTTGGAGGGGAAACCAACTCTTTTTTTTTTTTTTAATATCCAGAATTGAACCCTGGGGCTCTCAACCTCTGAGCCACATCCCCAGCTCTTTTCAAAAATATTTTACTTAGAGACAGGGTCTTGCTGAGTTGCTTAGGGCATCACTAAATTGGGGAGGCTGGCTTGGAACTGGCAATCCCCTGCCTCAGCCTCCCAATCCCTCAGCTGCTGGGACTATAGGTGCGTGCAACCGTGCCCAGCGGACACCAACATTTGAACTATACTAATCTCTCTTTCAAAGCTCCTTTCTGGACATCTCTATTCAGCAATCCCTTGTCCTTCCAGCTGCTTGTCTGACCCTCTTCCTCCACTCTTGCCTGCTTCTTTGCAGGCCAAGACAAAGACCCATCAAAGCCCCACTCGCTCACTGCCTCTTCTCCCCCAGGTGTCTGCAGATGTTCTGCTCTAGGGGATACCGTCTGAGAAGAGGTAGGAGCATATGTAATTCCAGTTCCCATCCTTCCTAAAGGTTTCTCTGGATCCTGCTCATCAAATCACCAAAGCTATAAAGATTGTCTTAAATGCAGGTCCAAAGAAATACAAATCTGTATTTTCTCATTAGAAAAATAACATGTACTCCTTGCAAAAAGAAAGCATTCAAATATTTCAGAAAAGCATGACTTATATATTTAAATTGCTTTTTGATTTTATTATTTTATTGGCTTGGGAAATACTTTTCTAGATATTTTTATTTGTCGGTATTAACCAATATTAGTTAATTCCTTTCTATTTTTATAAAAATAAGAAATAAAGAAATATATACTTTTTTTTTTTATCCCTGGGGTGTTTTACCATTAAGCTACATTTCCAGTCTTTTTTTTTTCTTTTTTTTTTTTGAGACAGGGTCTCCCTAAGTTGCTGAGGCTGACTTTGAATCTGCAGCCCTCCTGCCTCAGCTTTCAGAGCTGGTTGCTGGGACTAAAGGCATGCACCACCACACCAGTATCTTAAATAAACATGCATTTATTTATTTATTTATTTATTTTTACCACGGATTGCACCCAGGGGCACTTAACCACTTGAGTCACATCCCCAGCCCTCCTTTATATTTTTATATTTTTATTTTGAGACAGGGTCTTACTGAGTTACTTAGGGCCTCACTAAGTTACAGAGGCTGGCTTTGAACTCTTAATTCTCCTGCCTCAGCCTCCAGAGTCACTGGGATTATAGGCATGCACCATCGCACCCAACAAGATCATATTTTTTTAGTGGATTAAATATTTGAACAGGTATGAATGCCAAAAAAAAAAAAACATGAAAAATGCTTCACTATTGGGGAAATGGGAATTAAAATCATAATGAGATATTACTACATATCTATTAACATGGCTAATATTTTAAAAACCTGACCATATCAAGTTTCAGCCAGCAATGGAACACCTCCTACTCTACTGGTGGGAAAATAAAATGGTAAAATCTCCTTTGGAAAAGTTGGACATTTTCTGAAAAAGTTCAACATAAACCTAGCACATGATCAGTCTTTCCATTCCTGAGTATTTACCCCAAAAAAATGAAAGCATATGTGCAAAGACTTGTACATAGATGTTAATAGCAGCTCTTAAAAAAAAAAAAATCCCCAAACTGGAAGCCATCCAAGTGTCCATCAACAGAGGAATGGATGAACAAGTTACAATATATCCATACAGTGCTACACTGCTCCACAATAAGAAGAAAGGAGTTACAGAGACAGGCAACTACTTGGATACATAATTATGCTGAGTCAAAGAAGCCAGACAAAAAGGATGCAAGCTGAATGTTTGCATTTCCCAAAACTCTAGAACTAATGGGCAGTGAGAGAGGAAATCAGGGACCACATGGGTTGGAAGAGAGGAGAGAAGGATTGTCAAGGGGCACAGACAATTTTTGAGGGTGCTAGTATTTTCACCACCTTGATCAGGGTGATGATTTCACAGATATAGATAAATGTCAAAACTTATCAAAATGTTCACTTTGAAAATATGCATTTTAGGACTGAGGATGTAGCTCAGTGGTAGAGGTCATGCTTGGTGTTCTGGGTTCAATCCCTAGCACCAAAAAAAAAAAAAATTATATATATACACACACACACACACACACACACACACACATACATATGCAGTTTATATGGCAATTATATCTCAGTAAAACAATTTAGAAAGTAAAAGCAACTTTGCGATTTAATGGTTTGCAATGACTCTTAATGGTTTTAATTTAATGGCCTTGAAACTGTGATCTTTTGAAAAACCAGCCTCTATCTCAGAGCAAAGCCTGTCCAAGGAAGGGACATGACCTTTGTCCTTGGAAAGACCCACAGAGCACTCCTAGGCACATTCCCACCCTGCTAAGTTGTTTATCTACAAATAACAGGAGAGATCTGCTGCACCAGGTGTCCCTGACTCACTCAGGCTAGGTGGGGATCCATAGCAACCCCCTAGCAGCCACCAATCAGCATGAGACAGGGAAATACCTGGGATGCCAGATGACCCTCCCAGTAGTTTATGGTGGTTGATAATGTGTTGGGAAACCATGTAGTTCAGCATGTGTAAGGGTCCCACGAAACGTCGGAGAAAGAGACCACCAAGTGACCACTCATGCAATTGGCAGAAGGGGATTTATTGAACCAGCATGCTGGGGCTCCATGCCCACTCAAGAAGGGAAAGCAGCCCAGAGCCCCGAGCAGGGGCTGAGCACTGCTTAAGTACACTTTTTGGGGAGGGCGGAGGGCTTTGTATACATCAGAACAAATCATCATGAGGTGCGGGAAAATTGAACAACAACTCCTAAACATGATTGGTTCATTCATTGGCTGGAACAGGTCAGGCTGGAGTGATAGGTCATTCCTAAGGAGAGTACACATTCAAACTGATTGGTTCAGGCCCTGCAAGGCCTGCGTGCAACCACACAGACCCCTTCAGTTATTAAACAACCAGACAATCAGGGGAAATGTTTACTGGGCGGTTCTAAGCATTGTCTTAACAGCTACAGAAATTTCAGGTTTTGCAGGTAACATAGAAACCTAACAATACCTCCTTTACATTTTAACTCAGACCTTGCAGCTTAGAAACTTTTACAACACCCGGTCTTTTACCCTTTAACTTTTACGCTTTAACTTCAATTTCTTTTACCCTTACACATGAACACCCCTCTTGGCTTAAACCAATCAGTTCAAATGAATCCCCCTTTTGTACTGA